TATGTTTATTCCATAACTGTGGAAAAAAATGGAGAATTAGTATGAACCAAGAAAGATTATATGTAGGGGTCTACCTAAATTGTGGGGAGACTTACCAATTTTCATGGGTTGATTAGGCATAAAGTTCTAGTTCTGTAGTCAAGGCCCTCCTTGGGGGTGGTGAATTGGGGAAACCACCCTGGGTCCTGTGCTTTGGGGGGCCCCGCGGAGCTGAGCAGAGCGGCCGCAGTGACTCAGCGCTGCCACTGCTTTTGTGTCCTGCTGCTTGGTACCCCACCTCCCTTGTCACCAAACCCATCACTGGCTTCTTTGCATCTGGGGCACAGGGGGTGGGGCCTTGCACAGGCTGATTTGCCCCAGGCCCCACACCCTGCTTGGGTCATCTCTGTCTGTGGTCATCTGTTGGCCACCTTGCCCCTTGGCACTGATTGGTGGGAAGAAAGCTGGGGTCCAGCATGACTGCTGGATGCCCTTTGTATGGCCCTGCCTCTTGGCGCTGATTGGTGGAAAGGCTCTGGTGCTGGGAGGAGGGGTGATGGGGCAGCTGCCATCTTGTCTCCTGCCATTCATGTTACACCACCAGCTGCCTTCCCTTCCCAGTGAGGACTACTGGCTCCCACTGGGGAACCAGCATTTTTGTTTTATTATTTTTGTTGTTGTTGTTGATTTCACGGATTTTGTGGACAATCCCAGATTTTGCGTTTTCTGCAAAAACTATGAAACTGCAAGTTAAGTAGTTCCCTCATTATATGTGATGTGGCCACATAGATTAACATTCAATAAATATAGGTTGGGATTTTCAAAACAGAGCTGATTATCCCAACTATCTTTCACTTTAATTAAAGTGAAATTATTTAAACATTAAAATTAATTAAAGATATATGTCTAGGCCTCATGCACATTTTGAAAATGTCTAACACATGATTGAAATTTTTATTGTGCTTAACCTTTTTATGGTTCTTATAATCTTAGGTTCAGACACTATAATTTAAAAACATTGTTAATTTAGGATTTACCAACACCCCTGCAAGGTAGGGAAGGCCAAATAAAGGTCATTTATCATGCCGTGAATATTTGGCAGTCTTTGCGTTAAGACAGAACAGCTGTTTAACAACAACTTCATTTAGTAAAGGAACAAATGACACATCAGATTGAAAGCACTAGGTACATTAGATATACAGGATGTAATTATCCCCAGTGTCTTGGTAAATTTTTAATATATGGGACCTATTTTTGCAAGACAGTTCGGCAGGGTCTTTAGTTTTATGTATTTTCCACAAGGCCTAAATACAAGCCACTGGTTATCTTTATTTTCTTTCTAAGATAATTAACATTTTAATGGAATATACTTAGCTCAGTGCTCAGTCTTGTAACTAATTAAAAGGAAAAGTGTGGACTAGAATACAAATTCATTTTAATGGATTTAGCTTGCATTTATATACCATATGTGAACTCAGAATCCACCACCATGTCATATCTTGAAAACCTGAATCCTTGTTTTTAAATATCAGAAAAAGGGACCATGCAGTGAGTAGGGGCATGTGTAGACAAAACGGGGACTCTAAATTGAAGTGGTGGGTTTTTAAAAATACCGCTTCAGTTTAGGGCCCTTTAAACCCCCATGTCATGCACACAACCCGCTGACTTACCTGCCTCTTCGGTGGCAGGGAAAGGAGGGCCAGCTACCAGCGGGCGGAGCGGTGCCTGGGCTGCGGCTGGGGCTGGTGCTTCACTCCATGGCAGCAGCAGCCCCCCCGAGGTGGCACCCGCTTGCAGGCATCTGGCTTGGGCAGTCCCAGGGTGCACTGCAGGTGTGAAGGGAAGCACCAGACCCCTGCACAGCTCAGGGAGGCAGGCAGCCTCGGGGTAGGGAGGGAGGTGGTGGGCGGGGAGCCAGCCTTCCCAGACTGCTTCCAGGCTGCCTGCAGGGCTTCCTGCAGAGCCCCTGAGCTGCATGGAGCCCGGTGCTTCGCTCCGCGGCTGTAGGGGCAGCAAACTAAAACTTGTCAGAGGAGTTTTGGTTTGTTGCACCCCAAGTCATTTAAGGCGCATTATGCCGCCGATTTGCTATAGCGACTGTAATTAATGCGCAATATGCCACCAACGTATGCAAACACTGACACGGTTAAAGCCCGCTTTAAAGTGTTGTGCACACATGGCCCTCATTTCATCTACACATGGCCTTCATGGCAAAGCTGAGTATATGTTGAATTTCTAACTGTCAGTGTCTCTGATGTAGGTACCCCCTTGCCAGCAATGGTAGATGTGCTGGTATGTTATTCATACTAGTACTATCTATCCCTTTTCACTGCAGATGGCTGTATTGTTAAAAACAGCAGAGTGGCCTTCAGGGAAGAAATATAGTGAAAAATCCTTAAAAGTTTTCATTCTCAGCTGAATGCACCCATTAGATAGTACAGTTTTACACACAAATCTAAATAATAACAGCAACAATAATAATGCCATAGTTTCTGTTTAACCAGAAAATAAGCATGCTGCATTCTTTGTAGTTTGCAGTGTGATGGTATTTCATGCACATGCAGCTGTTTTTGTATTTTTAGTTGCTGGGATATTTTCTCGGTTATTCACGTAAAACATTTATGGTTGGAACTCTTGAATACAGGTGTGATGGAACTGGCTGCCATGAATGATGAAGACAGAGTATACAAAATAGCAACAGAAAGAGCTTCCCGTGCATAAACTTCTTAATACCTATTGAAGTAGAAGTGATAGACACTGGCATTTCTGTAATGTGTGCTTTGAGATACTGAGACTCATCAGGCACTTTCTGAAGTGAGTCAGGTTTTTCTTCCACTAATGTTTTCCCAAGCAGTAGAGAGGGCTTTCTGCTTTGCTAGGACATGGAAAAAAAAAAAGTAAAATCTTCCTCCTACCTTTTTCCATAATGGAGCTTGCTTTAAGGGATTTTCTTATTTTAACCTGTTGAAGATAAGACAAAGTATAGTTTCAGTTTAAAATCTCGTATGTCCTTAATTGATGGGAATGTAGATGTTGATGTGAAAATGAGGAATAACACCTGTCGTTGAAGTGGTGGGACATTCCATTCCAATACCGTGTTTTCTACCTTTTACTATCGCAATGATAGTATCAGAGATCCGGATGAGTGGTGCTGTTGCAACAGCAGGAAACACATAAATAGTGGAGTTCAGGGGCAGCACTTGTCTTGTGCTATAAGGAATTGGGTTGCATATCCAGGTGGTACAGGTTTACAAGGAGAGGAAAATGCTTTGGGAATGAGAAAGTTTGGGAGTGACTATTTGGAGGGAAACAAGGCTTTAGAGGGTTGGGGTAATGCCATTGGTTGGGGGTTGAAAGCAGTCTGCTGAATCAGCTAAAAATTTCCATTCTATATCTAGCAACTTGTCCAGTTAGGTCAATAGTTTTTGTCTGACAGTGGCCACTAGTAGAGCATCTACAGGAACATGGAAGATAAGTCACAGTGATCAACTATAAATACTTTTCCCAAGGAGAAGATTTCTGCCTAACCTCTGTCATGTAATAGTTGGTTTATGCCTTGAGACAGGAAAACTTAGATCTGTACTTTAGTAAGTACATATATTTTCTCATAACTGAGGCTCTTTTCAACATTATAATTCTTTGTTAAATCCTGCTAAAAGTGAGGGACTTGTTAATTCACAATAGGTTTTATTTTACTTTAAAAAGGCTTGTATCGGAGAAACTGGAATAGTCTGATACTTTTACTTTCTTCTTGTTACCAGTTGTCACTGTCTCTAGCGAGGCAGAGATAAAGTGATTAGCTGTCATGGAAATTCTGAATTCAAGTTTGCTGCCAGGTAGTGTGTGGAAACTGAATAAACCTGTTGTGGTTCTCACAGGAGGGGGGCTGAGCGGAGGTTGTTTTTTTGCTTTTTAATCTGATGACTGATCGTCTAGAAATTATTCCAAGAGAAATGATAAGATTAAATAATTTAGAGAAACTCTTTGGTCTGTGTTATCATTAATACAAAGCCTCAGTTTTTTTACAGTGAAGCACTTTTTTTTACAGATATCTTTAATTAAGTTTATGGTAAGCAATTTTTGTGTTATTTTTTTCTCTGTAACAAAATGAATATAAACTTAAGCTAAACTACTATGTGTTAAGCATTATAAATTGGTCTAAACAAGTATTTACAAGAAATTGCATGCAATAGAACAACACTAGTTTTACTGCTTAGTAATTTTTTAAAACAGAGCTGCAGAAAACATGATTACAATTGCACGATGGATGACAGCTTAAATTGTCATAGTTACTAAGATGTTTAAGTTTAGAAAATGGAATGACTTTCTCATGAGATTTTATAACCAAGGAGTTAACTAATAAAAAGAGAAATGCCCATTCTCCGTTCTGGGCAAAATAAAACCAGAAGGACTTTATTTTCCTTTCAAACTTCTTAAGGATGAAAGTTGGGTGTCCAAAGATGGAGAGTAATACTGAAAATTGTGATATAGGGGAAGGAGGAAAAATTTAATGGAACAGGAAATCTTAAAAATTGGAACTAATGTATAAATTAGTTGAAGTAAAACATGAAAAATAATGTAATGATTACCAAGGCATAGTTTAAAGTACAAGAAGGGATGACATAAGTTTTGTAGAATAAGTTCTGTGGGACAGGGCCATATATGTGTGGGATACAAACGGAAATAAATAGTAATCATCCATTATGATGTAGGTAGAATCTTGAAATTCAGATGTTGGGTTTATCTTTTTCAGACATGTAGATCTCTTCTCTTTTAGAGCTTGCATTTGGTTCAGTTATACTTTTACATAGAACTCATTTATACTGAAATTATTTTCCAGCTTTAACTTGACTTACAAACTTTAATTTTTATGCTACACCATCACTGTTAGAAGTACAAAGGTAACTTGATTGTACATTTAAAAAAATACTGCACCTGAATAGTGCTGATCTTTCCTTTGGTTAAAATTTTCTGTGAAACTTACCACTCCCACCTCTTTTTTTTTTTTTTTGAATAACAAGGAGCGACAACGACTGGAGACTATCCTCAGTTTGTGTGCAGAATACTCCAAACCTGATAGTGACCCTGCTGCTGTTGCCACTGTTGCTGATGTTCAGAAAATTAACAAAGAACTTGAAAAACTTCAGCTGTCAGATGAAGATTCTGTATTCGAAGATTCTCAAATTAATCCAGAAACGAGATTTAGAAACCACTTGAAATTGTCAACAAGCGATTCTGATTTCTCAGAGTTGAGTAATGTCAGTCGAAGTGCTGGCTCCTTCCTCTCGTCTAGAGGTATTAGAGCTGATGAACATATTGGTGAAAATATGAAAACTCCACCTTTAGTTTCTTCTGCTTTCCTGAAGGATTCCAATGAGTCTTCTTACCTAAGCATCACACCAAAGGTAATGCTGTTCAGAAGTACAATCTCAGTACAATTAGTTGAATCACAATGAAAATCAGTTAAATATGAGTCATAATAACAAAGTGCATTTGACTTGGTCCAAGATGTATTAAAACCGTGATGACCTCTTTCCTCTGAAAAGTGTATCTTTTAATCATGTTTTCAAAAGTGATGAACAACTCTAGTGTGGCTTTATATTTCTGAGGGGAGTGATATATGCTAAAATACCAATTTCAAAATATTTAAAGCAGCAGCATATCAGACATTACAGGCTGGTTTGGTTTTCATGAGGAAAATTAATTAAGGAAAATTAAATGTCGCACCACACCATTTCAAGCATTTGAGCCTCTGACCAGGTGAGGAGGCAAAGAACTGAAAATTTCTCCTCCCCTTTCCTAAGACTTCCTCCTGCTAACCAGCCAGCTCCCAAGAATAGTTGTAAAGTGGGTGGAGAGGAATTCCCTGGGCTGACTTTACAGTCCTCCTTCCCTTTCCTTTTTCTGGACAGAGCTGCCCTTCAAATCAACTTGCTGCTTCCTTTGGAGCCTATTGTGGTGAATTGCCTATTCACATGCAGCAGAAACCAGGCTAAGGATTTTTTTTTCAGTTGGCAGCTCTTCACTTTAAGAAATTAATTTAAAATATTCCCTATTTGTTTCATAGGCATTCTTTTTAGTTGAAAGAGTTCTTTTAAAAAATATTGTGGAAGTCTTATCAATGATGAAAACTTTAAAAATCTAACATGTTTCTTCCCATTTATTTGTTTTACCTTTTCTGAAATGTCTTTTATGTAGAACAGTGAAAGTCTAATCTCTGGTATATTTCTGTATTTTAGGACTGTGTTCTATTGGAAGTTTCCTAGAGTTTTAGTTTAGTAAATTTGAACCAAATTTGACTTGACAATTTTCCCCTCCTCCATCCTTTTATAGTTGGGATCTTGCTTTGTTGTTGTAGGTATACTGTTTGTTTTTGTGCTGCAGATAGCCGGGACAAAGAAACTACAGTAAAGAAAGGCTTTACTGTAGTTGTACAATGAACCTTTCAGAGTGGTTTTGGCCTGACAGTTAAAATAGATTGTGCCCAGATTATTGCAGAAATAATAATAAATTACCAGTTGCAATATCAAGTAATCATTTTATCTCAACAGCTAATCCATTAACACTAACCCTTTAGGGGTATCCATAACACAAGATGTCAAGACAGAATGAATCAGTCATTTTAACCATAATTTCACAACAGTTTTCTCACACTGGTTGGTTTAATGATAGGTTTCAGTTTGTAGCTTCCAGGTATTTTAACCAGAAACATGCTTCCTCTAGCTGTACCCTGGCATATTGGTTCTTCCCTTTTTTATTTGACAGTTATGTTTAATCATATTGTGTGCAAGTTTTTGTGGTCTTGCAACTTTTTAATGCTTGTGAGTGTTGCTTTCCTTCCATAAGTGGGAGATCCTATATTTAATCGTTGCCGGGAAGTGAAATTGAAGATGTTATGTCAGCGTGATCCAAACAGGATACCGGACAAAAAGAAGCTTTCCTGCTAGGATTACTAGCACTAGTGATTAAGGAATACCATTCATTTATTGTAAAGGGTGCCCTGCTAACCACAGAGAACAGCAGCAACAGGCATCTGAATATTAATGAAATATAGCTCATTGTTTTAAAATATCAAAGTCAGATTTCTGCTGCTAAAAAGCACTTTCTCTTAGAATAGTAAGTGGGCAGCTGAACCGTACCCATTTTGAAGGAGGCCATATGATCTGACAGTTAAAAGCCAATGACTAAGAGCCAGAACATGGTTCTAATTCCAACTGGAGACAATGAATGAGTGACCTTCTAAATGTAATTTGACTCTGTTACCTCAGTCAGTCCTGTTTTGAAAACAGGATAATATGCAAAAGTAATTTAAAATCAGGGGCTACTTCTACACTAGGCTTTCCTGGGCAAAAAAAAAGGCTGCAAAAGTTGTTTTTTCCAAGATCTCTCATAATTATTCAGTAGATAAATGAGGCAAAAACATGGTAATTGATTATGTTTCTATCTTTAAAAACCTTAATAATTGGTTAATTATGCTGTAGTGCACATATAGGTTTCTGTTTATGTAGACTTAACGTATACTTTAAAAGAAATTTACCTTTCCATATTTACTTTACTTCAGCAAAGAGAAATTTGACTTTTTACATCCTCATGATGGATTATCTTGGTTTTATCTGTGAAGGATATAACTAACAAGAAGAGCATATGATAAAATTTTCCACATATTGAATCGAATTATTGGACGGTTGTCTTAAATTCATCCCCCTACTGCTGTGGCAGATAAGGCAGCAGTGGGGATGATGAGCCAGACCCCTGTCTCTTGCTCCCCCATGCCTTTGCCTCCCCCCATGATACCTGTAGCTGGTGCCTGCCCCCCTGTTCATGTACCTGCACCCAATGCCTGCTCACCTTTGACATACTACCCCATCTCTTGCCCCCCTGTCCCTGAACCCTTGCTACTTGTCCCTCCCACCCATGATCCCTTTGTTGCTTGCACCACCCCTGTTACTTACCTTCCACTGCAACTCTGGCTCCAACTTCAGTACCATAGCAGTCAGTGGCGGTGGCCCCAACCCTGTCCCAGCCCAATCGGGGAGAAGCAGCGGTGGCAGCTCCAGGAATCACCTGGTTAGGGCCAGGCTGGAGTTGAAAGTATGTGGTAGCAGGGGGACAGGCAGATGGGGGACCAGGTTGAGTAGTCTTCCCTGGGCTATCCCAAGCCATACACTGCAGGTCTCGCCTTATGCACCCACCCCAACTGCAAGATCTCCTCTGCACTCCCCCCACCATGAACTCCCTCCCATAGTACATGAGCCACCTTAGCCTGGGGCAGGCAGTGACTTAGCTTCAGCTTTTGGCCCCTGGGCTGAAGCTGGGGCTGAGCTGCCACCTGCTCTGGGCTAGTACTCAAATCTAAGATAAGGCTTTTTTCTCCCCCCTTGTTGACTGGGGTGAAAAACCTCATCTTGGGTTCATGTAAAATAAGGTACATATAAAAGCAGAACTTTTAATGATTCAATGTGCACAAATTTGCTCAACACAATGTGAGAGGAGGAAAAACATGCTGTGTTAGAATTGTGCTACTAAACACCTTACAATGGCTAATTGCAGACATCAGAATGCACAAGCAGTGAACAAAGAGGGCACGAACTTGGTCAGCTGGAGGAGGAGCGCATAGCAGTATTAAATAATTTGGAGGAACTTGAACAGAAGATCAAAGATTTAAATGACCAGATGGATGAATCTTCAAGAGAGGTATGAACAGATAAGAATCTCCTGTTTCTTTTCACATGTTTTTATTTTAAATGTCCTGCTTGCTAAATGTGCATGGGATTTGTGATGCATGCATATTCTTGTTCATACCTTTTATTACTACTGTCTTTTGGACAAAATTTTGTGCAATAATGTTAATTGATATTTATGCATTATGGGGAATCAGGGGCTTTTTTATTTGCAGAAGGATGGCCCCCATGATTGTATCAACCTTTACAAACTCTGACTACTAATTGAAATTACACTAGTCCTAATTATTGAATGGTTTCTGGATTCATCTGAGTACCTCATATCATTTGGGAGCATTACACTGGTGTCTCATGTAGCCTGTGAAAGAGTAAGGAAGTGAGGTAACTTCCCATTAAAAGTCCTTGTCCCCATGCTGAAAAGATTGTGATGCTCTCTTGATTTCTGGAATCTCACACTTGCAAACTAAGCTGGATAGGTCTTTAGGTTATGTTGCCTCTAATTATCAACAACAGGAAAGAAGCAGCTGTTCTAAGACTGGTGAGTGCAAAGACTCTGCACAGACAGTAGGTACAGTATGATGCAGAAAGAAGCAGAGAAGAGAGGAAGTGGAAAATAAAAATGAATGCAAAAAATTAATGTACAAAGTAAAGTTTGTTTGAACTTGTTTTTGCAGTGTTTATGTTGAAATTCCTTATACGTATTTGTGATCTCCTTTTACCATGCTCTTATGTTATCAGCATTGCTTTTTTTTTAAATGTAGCTATACACTGAATAAGCACACTTCGAATCATCTCAAATATCGTTTCTCAAGATTTCTTTGTAAGCTGGACTGCTTTTGAGAAATGTTTTGTGTTCCTAGCTGGATATGGAATGTGCCCTTTTGGATGGGGAACAGAAATCTGAAACAACAGAACTTCTGAAAGAGAAGGAAATATTGGATCATCTAAACAGGAAGATAGCTGAGCTGGAGAGAAATGTTATTGGCGAAAAGACAAAGGTAAACACAGTAATGATCTTTGCTAATTTGTACTCAGTTTTCCTTGGTCTTAAAGTGTATTTACATTTTTAATATGGGTAGAGATGTTCTCGCTTCATGTGGGTGGCTTCACTTATAATTGGAAGAAGATAACCATTTTACAAACTTTGTTCTTGAAATGCTCTTGGTTTTCCAAGGTGTGTTTGATTATGATTAGCAACATGAGGTGATCAGATCTTTTTACTTTCTCATCTGAAAGGTATTTGAGATATTTGGGAGGCATTAAAGGATAATGAAAGAGAGCAAATGCTGGCTGTTTGCGCTCAGCACATATTTTTTCACGTATAACTTGGACTACAATATCTGATTGCAGTCATAGTATCTGTTGTTTAAATAAGGGTATTAATTTGAATTAGCCTAAGGTTTGTGTCATAAGTATTATTTTAGAACTCTTCATTAGGGTAAATTATCATTAATTCTGCTGCGCCCTCCCCCCCGAACGTTTTACTGTTTTCTTAGCAAAACAATTAGGACCATGTTATTGTAGTTGAATTTTAGCGTGGCTTTTTGGACTACACAGAATGATAAGCAAGACATCTGTTCAAGTAATGAACATTTATTTAATACAACCATGTAAATTCATTCAGCTTGCTGTGCTGAAGTGTTGGTACTCTACATTGAGTTCTCTGGGCACCAGGGCAAATTAATACATTGGTTCACACACAAATATAGTCCATAATTTTAATTACTTTTTAATATGCAGTTGCTCCTGCAAAAAAAAAATGGACTGTTTAATAAAATTTTACATGTCAGAAATGGAAAAAGTGTTATAAGGTGAATTTTTCTCCATCATGGCAGAGGCAGATTGCGTCCTCTAACATGTGGTCAAGTATGTTTTCCAGTCAATCAATTCTTTTTTTGAGAGGACATTCCACAGCCTGTTATATCTCACTGTCAGGAAGTCTTTCTGGATGTTCAGCCAACAATGTTTCCTTTTTTAATTTCATATAACTCAGTGTAAACCTGTCTCTTGGGGAATTGTACTTACTAATTTTTCTTCCCCCTTCCTTTCTAGTTGTGCAAAATATATTTGCAGTCCTTTACATCTGCCCCACTCCATTCTACTGGTTAAAATAAGCTGCACATTTTAATCTCTCTTAAGCATTCATTCAAAGTCAAGCCTCTGGCTTGTATTTATACTGTAGCATTTTTCAGAGGTCTCTTTTTCTGTCTTCCCTTTTTTGAACCTGAATGTTCCCTAAGGCTGTAAGGGAGGTACTTGTGACCTCCTTGTTCTGAGAAGTGACATGCATGTGTAATTAAGCTTGGCTGCTTGTAGACATTGAAAAACAAACCACAAAAAACATCAACAACAACAAAAACGCCCTTTACCTGAAGAAGTAGCAGGTTACTTCGACCTGGCTACACAGCATCTATATAGATTTGGAAAAAAAAAAATTAAAGCTGAGTCAATCAGCTATTAGAAGCATCAAAATAGCCCCACTAAAGCATCAGATCTATACAGACGTCCGGCAAACCGGGTCCAACTAATGTGATGCTTGTTCTCGGCATGTGCTGGGTTTGGTGCAGGGGTGTACCAAGTTTAAAGTGCCATTTTGAGGGGGGGTTAAACATCCGCAAGCAGCAAATCTATCCCTGCCTTCTGTTTCAGATCTGCACTTGCCTTAAATTTCAGTGATCCTGCAGCTTTCAGTAGTTCTATGCAAATTCTATAGTTGTATTTTAACTTGGATGGTGAATCAGTTTTGTGTTAGTTTGTTTTCTTTAGTAGTCCAAGGGTCAGTCTGAATCAGGCAGTAGAAGTTATGGCTCTGCACACTGCATCTCTTTGAAGTGAATCTATTAGGAAGCATTCAGTTTGCCGGAGTGATATTTTGCTTTTCTTTGACCCCAAAATGCATCAAATGATTTCCTGTTTTATCAAAAGTTACCATGTTTTGGTGATTAGAAAACAAAACTGGCAAATCTGGTTTCATTTTTCAGCTGAATGAAAAGCAGAAAATAGAAGATTAGAAAAATGACCTTTATTTGATGGGTGAATTTATTTACAATACTTGTTTACAATGCCACACTCTCTCTCATATGGATTAAAATAGTTTAAGTAGTTTTGTCCTGAGTGTCCCTTTCCCTGGATAACAATGGTTTCCCAAATCTTATACCCGCAGCTGTGCCAATAGTAAAAGTTTCTTTCTTTTTACTTTTTAATAAAAAAAAATGAGGGAATATAAATATGTGTTCTGGTTGGGGCCTGGAATGTTTGAATAAAATTGAAATATAAAACAAATACTAACTTTTGCAAAATAAATATCATAAAGTCATAGCTGGGATTTCCTAAAGAACAAAGCAAAAGTTAACAAATAGATTGGACCAATTAATTCTTTAGCTAACTGTAAGTAATAGTTTTCTGTACTGTGTTTAATATTTATGCATAAGATAAAGCTCTCTGACTGTCTCATGAGTTAAACAAATTTTTGTGTATCCTGGGCTAGGATGCCTGCTGAGGTGCTGGTGATTTCCCAGGTGGCACTTTTCTCTGAGAGAGTACTGAATATATATTCCCTGTAATAACATCAGGTCTCAGTTTGCTGCTAATAAGTATCATGTTTAGGATAGGTCCTTATGATTCTGTGGCATGGCTTTTGCAAATGCTAGTACTTTGGATTACTTGTGACAGTTACATTTCAGTCTTATCTGGTTATTTCTTCCACAGCATTGTCTGTCTGTTTTGTTTTGCATGGCTAAGTACCAATAAAGAGTTAATGTGAAATGGTGTCTGCATGGATAGTGAATATCATTCACTGAGAAAGAGAGAGGATGATAGTGCTGTTCATGATGGCATTACCTTAATGCTGATGGAAATGTTTGAGTGTCTTCTGGAATTTATTTGAGCAGGTGTTTTGACAGGAAACCCCCTGCATGAATTAATTTGATCCTTATGGAAGCACCTGTTCAAGAAACTTGTGAAATTCTTAAAAAGAGAGGTCATAAATAGAAAGATAATGATTATGCCATCTGTATATTTAAAATAGACCAAAATGGAAGTTTTCGTATTTCTTATTACCTTTTATTTGTAAATGTGGTCAGCCTTGTGAACTTGGAGCAGAATTCATTGTTGATAATGTATTCAGTCTTGTAAACTCTTGTATTGCTTATGTCCAGTCTTGCAATATGTGGACATTGGAGTCAGAAGCGGACTGGCCAAGTTTGCCGATGACACCAAACTTTGGGGCAATCCAGGCTGACCTGGACAGGCTCAGCAAATGGGCGGACGAGAACCTGATGGTGTTTAACACTGAAAAATGCAAGGTTCTCCACCTTGGGAGGAATAACCTGCAGCATCCTTATAGGTTCGGCAGTGCTACACTGGCTAGCACTATGAAAGAAAGAGACTTGGGGGTCATCATTGACCACAAGATGAACATGAGCCTGCAATGCGATGCTGCAGCTAGTAAAGCGACCAAAACGCTGGCTTGCGTCCATAGATGCTTCTGAAGCAAATCCCGGGACGTCATTCTCCCCTTGTACTCGGCCTTGGTGAGGCCACAGCTGGAGTACTGCATCCGGTTTTGGGCCCCACAATTCAAAAAGGATGTGGAGAAGCTTGAGAGAGTCCAGAGAAGAGCCATGCGCACGATGAGAGGTCAGGAAAACAGACCTTACGAAGACAGGCTGAGAGCCCTGGGGCTCTTTAGCCTGGAAAAGCGCAGGCTCAGGGGTGATCTGATGGCCACCTATAAGTTTATCAGGGGTGACCACCAGTATCTGGGGGAACATTTGTTCACCAGAGCGCCCCAAGTGATGACGAGGTTGAATAGTTATAAACTACTGCAAGACCATTTCAGGCTGGACATAAGGAAGAATTTCTTTACTGTCCGAGGCCCCAAGGTCTGGAACAGCCTGCCACCAGAGGTTCAAGCGCCTACATTGAACACCGTCAAGAGTAAATTGGATGCTTATCTTGCTGGGATCCTATGACCCCAGCTGACTTCCTGCCATTCGGGTGGGGGGCTGGACTCGATGATCTTCTGAGGTCCCTTCCAGCCCTAATGTCTATGAAAACAGTAGATATTTCACAGATTTCTTTTCTTGAAGTTCCTGATGCTGGAGTGAAATGATTGCTTTATCATTTCAGCTTTCATTAAAAAGTATTTGCTGGCCCTCATAGTGGTAGAAGACCATTTGAAACAGGAAGTGGTGCACCTTACAGACCAAGAAGCTAGAGGGCAAAGAAAACAATCTTACTATGCTAAAAATGTCCTTCTTTTTTTAAAGGCAGTCTTAGAAACGTAGATAGGGCTGACTGATTCTTTTTGTTTTGAACACCGAGTTGGCTTTGCTATTCAATATTGAAGTAGTAAGTAGCTTTGTTATTTCAGAATGTAGACAATCATAACAAATTAGAGACACAATGGGTGCATCTACACATGCCAATTTAAGGCACTTTAGGCCAATTTAAGGCGCATTAAGGATATACGTCTACATGTGCAAGTGTAGACACATTAAAGCACATTAATGTTGTGTATGGACTGACATGGGACTGAAGTTAGTCCCACATCATTGCGTGGACATGGCATTAATGTGCTTTAACATGTGTATGTGTAGATGCGAGTCCAAATTGCCTTAATGCACATTAATGCATATTTAAATTTAGGCATGCCTAAATGTACATCTAGACACACCCAATGTGTAGTCTTGGTATGGGGGAAACCCAGGACTAGAATTTGAAGAGGGAGAGGGGAGGATTCTGGTGATGACAATCTGATCAGGGTCCTAGACTTGCACTAAGGATACCTTGTAGTCAGTTTTAGACTCTGCTGTGGAACGGTGCTGAAAAAAAGAAGCCATATTGTTGCTGTGAACATAACAGTACATTGTTTTAAATTAGGTAAAATAAAACACTTTAAAATAAAATCCATTTATTTCATTTTTCAATGGGATGAAATGATATTTTCACAAGAAAGCAGATTCATTAGCTAATTCTTCCACTGGCTAGTTCACCC